GCGTGAGGGATGAGGCCGTTCTGGATGCCTCTTCTCAGTAAGCTGTGGTGTCGTGGACCAGGTCTGGCTCCCTCAGCTTCCTTAGCCTGGACCTGTCTGCTTCTCCACTTCCCAGTCACCACCACCAAGGCAGGAGGGAGAATGCACAGGACCACTCTTAGCTAGCAAAGTGGCTTCCAGGACTCTGGCTTCTGTGGCGCTTTGGAGGTACCTTGCAGTCACTGAGCCTGGTAGGAACACCTCTGCCCTCATGTCGCGTGCTCTTTCTCAGACTTTGGAGCCTGGAGACATTTCCTCTGGCCTTGTAAGATGGCCGTGCAGGACAGAGACTGAGCAGGACCACACTGGGTCTCTAGGAAGTGCTCTGACCTCCCTGATCCAAGCCACCACAGTGGGTGGGGCCCTCCTTGGCCTGGCCTCTGGTAAGCGGAGATGAGTGGACTGGGTGACCTCTGTAGGATCAAGTTCAGGGCACCCCTCCTATTCCCAGAGGGATAAGGCAGTAACCGGCTGTAGCATTCATCAAAGTAGTCTCTTGTGTGTCTTTGCTCCCTCCTCTCTGGCCACTAACTCCACTAAGAAGGACTAGAAGTCCAGGACAGTACTCAAAGCCTTTTCCTGCATTGGCCTATAAGGGAAGAGGTCTAGTACCATGCCTTTCTGTGTTGTGTTGACATTCCATTTTCTGTGTACATGGCTCATGCATGTATGCATGCATGCACATGTGCATACACACATTTGTGCGCGCACACACACACACACATAGGATATCAGTGCTTGCTTGCTCTGTGGGCTTGGGGCAGGGCCTCTGTTTCTTCCCTCACCCGCATCTGTCAGTGGTAAATGATTACCACAGGAAAGCATAGGAGATTAAGTGGCTGCACTGTTTCTTACGGCTTTCGACATTTTCACCAAGGGATACATGTGCTGCTAGAATAGATAAAATCTCCAGAAAGGAATCTCGGTGACACACAGTAACAAGTGTGCCCTCTGCCGCAGACACTCACATGCTCCCGCACAGCACTCAAAACAGTCCCCTGAGTGGCACAGCAGGCATGCGCCGAAGTGTGTGTGCATCCAGTTCCTGCACAGCCCTCGCAGGAACAACCACAGTGGGAAGGAAACGTCCCTTCAGGGTCCTTCTCACCCACCAAGTGCTGTATACCACTCCCCATCCCCCCTCCCTGTGACTAGCCTGGTTCACCTGCAGGGAGGAAGGTCTGCTGGTCTTAGGTCCCAGGGACTTATTTGGACTTATCTGGAAGGGTGAGATTCTACCCCGTCACCCAGGCTGAAGGTCTTCCCACTCCAGCACCATCCCCAGGGACCGCACTGGGCTCTGTCCAGGTCACACATCCACTCAGAGGATGCGAATGACATGTTTCAGGGAGAATGACGTTGACAACATGCTCCCAGCAAAGAGCTAAAAATGAGACACCAAGAAACGAGGCTTCCGCTCCATTACAGCTTTGTGTTCCCTGCCGGCTGGCCGAGGAGCTGACAGGAAGCAAGCCTCAGCCAGCCGTCTGATCACTGTATTTACTGAAAGCAGAAGAGCTAGACTGTGAGCTCCTCCTCTCAGCACTCGAGTTCAGACTGGATCATTCCAGGCTGTGGAGACAGACTCACAGAGCTCCGGGCTCCAAGCGATGTTCTTTTAAAAAGCACTTGGGAGACAATTTTCATTCTTTTATCAGTGTGACAGTCAAGGTGCAAGTCAGAATGTGGGGGGAGGAGTGTGGGGCAGACAGGGAGGATGGAGAGAGGGGGGAGGAGGTGGAAAAAAGGAGGGAGAGAGAGAAAGACGGGGGAGGAGAATATGAGTGAGAACGCAGTCTCCTGTCAGGTAAATGTAATAATTTACTTTCAGACAACCAGGTTTCTGGTGTCATTTAGAGATAACACTAAAGCAACTGGTTTTTGGCCTTACAGAGAGCAGCCATTTCTATAGTGACACGAAGCAGAAACCTTTCCCAGGAGATTGGGGGAGGGGAAGTACATTGGTGACTAGATTGCTGAGGGGGGCCAGGCCATGAACAAGGAGGGTTTGAACCAGCAGATTTGCCATCAGAGTCCACGCCCACTGTGCCGTACATGGCTACAGGTCTGGAGTGTGTGACGTCTGCTGAAGAGAGAGCAGCCTGGGCGGGAGTCCCTGCGTCTGTCTCTGTGCACACTCATGCGTCTCTCTCTTGACTGTCTCCGGTCTCAATGGTGTCATAGCAACAGGCTGTGCTTCTGCTAATTTGGTGCAGCAAGGGTACACAGCTCTCTGGGGACAACGCCCCTCCCCACAAATCCTCTCCAAAGCTTAAACAGAAGAGGGGGTTTCTAGTAAGGCTAAAGGGCTCAATGAACTGCAGGTCAACCTTGCAATGTAAGAGGGAAGCTGGGACCCCAGGCTATGCGGGCAGGGCCACCCGTCACTGCTCAACCGTTTCGTTTGGCAACAGCAGCTCACAGCTCCAGAGCAGGAAGATGGCCACCTTCTGTGCCCCTGTGTTTATACATAGCCTAGAGCCAGCCTCAGGAAGCCACAACCAGATTTCCCTGAAAGTGGATGCTAAAAGGAACGTAGTTATGATCAGGTGTCTCCTGCATGGACCCTTCCCTCTCTCCAGCATGATGTCCTGCTGAGACGGCCCATGCTGTGGGATGTTCCCACCAAAGCAAAGGCCAGACCCTTCCCATCTTAAAGGTCTGCTAAAATTGGCTGTCAAAGAGCGGGGGGCTGGACTTGCCCAGGGGAGCACCCCTGATGCCCAGCCTCTTGCACATTCCTACACGTTCTGGAAGGAATCCCAAAAAATGTGCAAGGCACTTGGTTGGTCCCGAGGACAGGCAGGGGTGTCAGAGGCACCAAACTTTTGTAGTGATGGCAGGGGCCTCACCCAGTGGGAAGGAGAGCTTTGCTCTGAAGGAACCACCCTTCCGTGGCCATGGGGCTCGAGACGAGCACGGGGCCTGACGACCAGTTTCTTGTGACCATCTCCAGCTCAGGACTGGAAGTTGGTCTTCAGCAAGCTACTGCTCATTGGTACAGGAGAAGCTTTGAGGCAGGGAATCAAGATGAGTTAGCAAGGGATGCTGGGATGTAAACAGGGCCATGCCTGCGCAGAGTTCCTGCCCAGCTGATGGACAACGCACTTACGGGGATCAGGAAGCTGAGCTTCCAAGTGGAGATCCTTTCTGGAGCCTCCTGCCATTCCTGTCTGTCCCCGGAGCACGGTGGCCCCGGCACACTCCACAGCACCGATTCCTGGTTGTCTCTTGGAGCCCTCGCTGGCCAGCATGGTGCATCTTCACCAGAGTAGCAGGCTTGGCTCTAGCAGGGCTGGGCAGGTACAGGCAGGACAGGTGAGTACCTTGGAGAGGCTGCTGTGGAGTCTGTACTGTCCTCTCATCCTTTCCTGTCCCTCACCAGGATGCCAGCTTACGCTGTGGCCTTTGCCCTCTGTGCTCCACAGCTTGGTGACAGAAGCATCGACCTCCGATAACCCCATGGTACAGGCAGGGCGCTGAAGTGAGGATAGAGCCCTCTCCACCCTTTGGAGACCCGGGAGTAGAGTAGGCCAGGGTAAGAAGTCAAACTAGAAAGGTGTAGAGAGCCACAAAGAAGAAAGAGAGAGTAGGGCTGGCAGGCAACCAGAGAGCGCACTCTGCTCTCTGGAAATGGAGGCCGGCCTTGGTGCCCCAGGCATAGATGACCAGGGCCTTCCCCTCTACCGTTCCTGGCCTCACCTATCCTGAAGCCTCACTACCTTCCCTACCAATCTGCAACTAGTTCTGCCTCTCGATGGTCCCTCTGCCTCTTCCACTGCAGCCATCAGAAGAGTTACCAAGACCAGGCCCAGGCGGTGTTGACAGCTTTCTGTGCAGCATCTGTGGCAGATTCCTGCGTACTTGCTGGCACCCCCACCCCAGCTGCTCCTGCAGGGTTCACTATGGAACATAGTAGCACAGTGTGCTTTCCTGTGTAAAGCCATGATCATCAGCACCAGGGCAGAGGCTGCCTGCATTCAGTCAGGCCAGCCCCAGCTAAGGATCTGGTGCACCCAGGCTGCTCGATTGAAGCAAACTTCTTACACAGGGTCTTAGCAGATCAAAGCAGGCCTTGAGCTCATGATTTTCCTGCCTCAGCCTCCCAAGATCGGAGATTGCAGGCATGCACCATCACCCTAGTGTCATGTTTCTTACTTTCAGTATTGGGTAACAGGATTTATTCTGCTTTTTTGGTTTGCTGGGGTCAGGAATACAAGACTACGCTGTCATTTCAACAAGGAGAGTTTAAGACTCTAGAAAGGGTGAATCACACAGAGATGAAGGAAGGCTCTGGAGACTCTGCCCCCACGTGTGAGCCCCAAGGTCGCGCTCTGGACATTTCCAGACGTGAATGTGACCTGGGCCTGATGCTGAGTCTGAGTCCAGGAGGCCACAGGCGGGGAGGGCGGGGTGGTGATGTGGGTGTCACTGTGGTCCTCTCTATCTCCCTGCACAGCAGGCAGCATGGACATGAAGCAAGCCTCTAGTCATTTTATTTGTGAATCAGAGCTCTGCTGGACATTTGTTTACTTAGAATGCACCATGAGGTTTCCATTAAAATCTGTCATGGGGGAGATATGAATTCAGAACTGGTCACATACTCATGCCCTACCCGGGGACGGGACCCAAGAAGCTGGTACTGTCTCATCTTGGACCAGCACCATGCTTGGTACAGTGTAGGTGGTCAGCAAATGTTTCCAGAATGGAGTAGAATGCGCCTGTGCTGGGGGCTGCCCCACTGCAACCCAGCCCGGTCAGAGTGCCTGCTCCTCCGGGAACGTGCGAAATGCTGGGCACACACTGTTCAAACACTGCTCCATCTGTATGATTTACAGCTGTGTAGATGCCACAAGCACAAGTGAGCCACAATGTGGAAGGCAGTGGGGCCCTGGCTTCAGGAGGCCAACTTCACAGTAACGTGTTCTCTTCCCCAATGGTTCTCTGGTGGTTTCCCTCAGGGCCTGTGCCAGCAGTGAGACAGAAAGCGAAGCCGGAGACATCATGGAGCAGCAGCTGGAGGAGATGAATAAGCAGCTCAACTCTGTAACCGACCCCACAGGCTTCCTGAGGATGGTACGCCACAACAACCTCCTGCACAGGTATGGTGCTCGCCCCTGCGCACTAGGCTCACCCTGCGGCACGTGTCCCCGCGCTCCTTCCACAGTACACGGAGCTCAACGTTCTGTCAGGTAGCTGTAGAAGCAAGCCTGGTGATTTGCCCTGGTACCAAGTTCAAACAGAGGTGGATCAGGCTCTCCACCTTCCTGTTTTTTATATGATAGAGTCCAGGGATATTCTGCTGCCATGCCAGGAAGAAGCTGAGTAGCTCACAGGCCTGCAACTCTTTTCAGGAGGCTGAAAAGAGCCAAGAAGCCAGTGGGGTAGGAGACAGCAATGGCCCAGAAATGAGCTCGTCCACATCCAGCCACCCTGGCCCGGTTGCCTGTCACTTAACAGATAGGTGGGTCAAAGGTGAAACTGCTATGCCCACAGGCTTGGGTTAATCATATTCTGTCAGAATTCATAGTTCCTGTCTTTGAGGGATGCTGGCTGTCCCGGGACTGCAGAGGGGCCAGACTGGGTGGGTAGCCTTGCTTGGCAGCCCTATATGTGGGCACTGTGTACCTTGTCTGCAGCAGCCTGGTTTCCTGTCATTGTGTTATCAGGGTGACAGCAGTGTGTTTGCCTTCCCAGGGCTCAGCAACTTTGGGAAAGAAGCCAAAAACTCGAGGGCCAAGCTGGTCCTTCCTCTCCCTCCTGGCCTTGGAGGTGTCCCTCTGTCTTCTAAGGACACGGCCAGATGCAAGGAAGTGTGGGATTGGGCTGGGCTTGGCATCTTCTCTACCTGAGTGGCAAGGGATATGATTTTGGCTTGTGACCAAGTACAGCAAGCCTAAAACTCGATTCAGGCCTCACTGGATTGTAGTTGATACATTCCCCAATCCTAACATGTGCACAGACTCCCCTGTCCCCTCAGCGAGGCAATTAAGGACCACTCTGCAAACATCAGCGGCTTCCTGGTATGTGGACAGCATCGCGTAGCTGGTGGCACTCTTGCCAGCCAAGGGCGAGGCCGAGTGTGGAGACAAGAGGGTCTCTTCACTACTTCTTAATTCACTTTGTCTACAATGTACTAATCCCTCAAGACTGCACAGACGAGTGGGAGGTAAGATCAGGCTGAGGAGATGGGCTCAGCCCAGCAGCCCATGAAGCTCCCTGTCTGATGCCCAAGCCCAGGGATGACAATACCCAGCTGCAGCAGACAGCAGCCCACGTGTGCATGTATGTGCACACACACACACACACACACACACACACACTGGAAGCCCAGCTCTGGTCCCCACAGCCCATGCCTGGTAACTCCAGTCCCAGCTGGATATGCTAGTGCAGTGGGTCTCAACCCCTCTGGAGGTCAAATAACCCTCTCACAGGGGTCACCTAAGACCATCCGAGAACACAGGTACTTACATCAAGATCCCTAACAACAGCAAAATGACAGCTACGAGGTAGCAATGAAAATAACTATAGCTGGGGGCACCACAACATGAGGAACTGTATTAAAGGGTCGTGCCATTAGGAAGGCTGAGAGCCAGCGTGCAGGTGGGCCTGCAGGCCCTTCTGCTCCCCACACCCCATACCTGAGCACTCACTGTTCTCAGGGAGCAGTGGTGTGATGTAATCCCGGAATCGGGCCGTGCAAGGTGGCTGGCACTTGGTGAGATATCATCCTGAGTCTCCCAACAGAGTGGTGGCAAGATGGGGTTCATCCGTCACCCCACCCTGAGGCAAGTGGGTGGCCTCCAGACCCCCACTCAAGTACCTTTCCCCCTCCCAGGATCCTAAGTCAGACGGTCTCTGTGTCACCCTGCCATGTTTTCCACTCTCTCCATTGTCCCCTCTGTGTGACCCAGAGGATTCCCAGGCCTGTCATTACTGGCTGGAGATCTGTGCCTGGCACTGAGATGTGGCCAAGTCAGGCTTTCCCCGGAAGGCCATCACAGGCGTGCGCACACACACATGCACACACACACATGCACACACACACACACATGCACGCACGCACACGCGCAGTCTTTGTTCCTAGGCTACCCCAGCTGAGTACTCTCTTCTTCCCAGAATCCCTGGTGCTTTGGGTATAGAGGTCACTGCCTGCCCCCTTGCATTTGTTTCTGTGGTCTGTGTGCTCCCTCATCCCTCGGGCTACACATCTCTAGAGCCTGAATCTGGTCTAGGATTTCTTTCTCCATCCCCAAGGTGCTGGTTACCTTGCTACTACATACTTCCATGTGTCTGACTCACTTAACTGATGGGTGGGGGAAGGGATAGAAGGGTCCTTTGGTCAAGCACCACCCCAGCAGAGGAAGGCATCCACGATGCTCAGCCAGTGCCTCTGAGTACCAGCCCTATGTAGCACTTCCCTGACCTCTGTTGACCCTTCCCATAGCTGTGAAGGGCGCGGTTCAGAGGAAACTTGGAAGGCTTGCCTGACCTTCTCTAACTGGCTTGCTCTCAGGCAACAATGGAATAGCTGCCACAACTAGCAGGCTTACAGGGAATCTGCTGTCCCAGCTGCCTGGAAGAGGCAGTCCAGAGCCTCGTAGCTAGATGAAGAGCCAGCACAGGATCTGACCTGTCAGATGAAAGTCTGCGCTCCAGTTTCCCAGACCCCACTGGCCTTCCTTAGACATCGGCCCCGGGCTTCTCCTACGGCTCCCCAAGCACTCACCTGTGTGTGCTTAGGCTCCTCTAGGAGAAAGCAGGAGTCTTCTGGGCCCTGTGGACAGCTCCTCCCAATGTATCTCGGAGGGGTCCTTGTGAACCCACAGGGAGCAACACCCTGTGGGCTTCCTTGGGGAGGTGGTGCAGAACATCTGCAAAGGGCTGACCGTGTTGCTGTCATGGATAGGTGAGGCAGCTACTGCCCAGGCCTGTAGTCCCAGCTCTCCGTGCCCACACACAGGTAAGCTCAGTGGGCCCCTACACTGCCCGCTGAGCAGTAGTGTCAGGAGGAGCCATTCAAGCATCAGGCACAGTACAGGAGAGACAGACAGATGCCAGGTCCATTGCCATCCCGGGCTTCTGTGGAAGGTGGTAGGCTCAGGGGGACAACAGTGTCTGTCAGGTGGGACCAGGCTGAATCACACCAAGCCACCAGTGGCCTCTTCCAACAATGTGTGTGAACAACACTCCCTGGGCTGCACCTGCCCCGCCCCCTCCCTACCCAACACAGGCCGCTGTGCTCTACACTCCTCTAGACGTGGGTTCATAGACATCAGAGAAGCCAGCTGAGAAACCTGGGGCTGAGCTGGCACCTAGCCCCAGTGGAGCTGGGAAGGGACGGCAAGGCAGTGATCTACCGCCACCTGCTGGACCTCTGTGATAGTGCAAGTCCAGTGCCGTGGCATACAAACCATGACCCCTGCCCTGCCTATGAAATTCGGTGCTTCGCAGGCCCCAGGTAGCTGCAGAGATGAGAGAAGGGACAGGGTCCCCGAGGGCTTCCTTGGACCCGGCCTGCTCCTGGGACGATGGGAAGAGGGGAGGTGCATGTCCCTCGCCAGCCCTGAGCCAAGCTCCCTTGTACAACCAGAAGGGAGCCATGCACGGCAGAAGCACTGTCTTCGGAGAACAGTTTGCACACCTCACCTTCAGGGGCAAGCTGTCCCTGGATATGGAGTGTCTCCAGGGTCATCTGCACGTCACTGGCTCCGGCAGCAAAGCTGTAGCACACCCTGTCACTTGTAATTACATTTCCTGAGTAGAGGGGAGTGGCTGCCCAGGCCTCTGCACCCCAGGAGCTGGAACGCGCTGCCGAGCCCCTGGAAATAGGTGGGGCCGGTGGGAGAACGAAGTCCGTGGGAGCCACAGCTGGGGAGGCTCGCAGGCCCCTGCCAGCTGGCCCTGGGGGAAGCCCTTCTGGCCACAACTGAATAGCTGTCACAAAACCCGCATGCAGAGCGCTTGTCACAGCCTGCTGCTCTGTCTGGCGTCTGGCACAGTCCCTGCCAGTGCAGGTCCTGCAGCATACAGCGGAAACAATCCACTGCTAACCCTCGGCAGGCTCGGAGAGCGCTACCAGCTGGCCGTGCTGGAGTCAGGCTGCCGGGCAGATGGGCAGATTCTGTCCCACCCTCCGCGTTTACCTGCAAGCTTAGTGATTGCTCTTCTGGGCCCCCAAGACCATGCTGTGCCTAGCAGGCAGCCAGTGCTTAACCACATTTTCTGAATCCGTCAGTTGTTGTCCTTTTCACCCTTTGAGAGTGTGACTCACGGGAGGGGGTGGTCCTGGGGGTGCTCCCTCTACAAGCACTTTCCAATCAGCAGTTCTCAGGGCACCCCTGTGAAAAGGAGGGGCCCTGTCAGGATCTGGCTGGGTTTGGCCAGCAGCTCCTTGTCTTGGGAGGCGAGTTCACTGCTACCAGATGTCATTTTCCTTGTCAGCCTGACTGCTGCACTGACCCCTCCTGATCCTTGTCCTTGACAGAGCACAATTGCTCCGTGCAGGACCAGCAATCTGGGATGTTTGATTACGTAGCTGACACCACAGAGATGCACGCATGCTGTTGTGTACAGAACTCAGTGTTGTACCCCCTGCAAGGGAAAAGCGTGAGCTGGAGTTGGCAGGCATGCCGAGAGGCCCTGTGGGCAGTGACAATGATGGAGGGTGGGCCTGACTCTGACCCTGGTCCTGTCTCCCCAGGAGCTGCCAAAGCATGACAAGCTTGTTCAGTGGTACGGTGTCACCCAGCAAGGATGGGACCTCCTCTCTGCCCAGGAGGCAGAACTCACTGGCCAAGCCCCCACTCCGCGCCCTGTACGATCTGCTCATCGCGCCCATGGAAGGGGTAAGTGGCTCCTGGGACACGAGGCTCCTTGGTATGAGAACACATCACTTCCTGCTCTGTGCCCATGCACATCCCCCAGAGCACCCGGCAGACACATTCTTCACTGGCAGCTTGGCAGGTCCGAGCTTGTGCTTCACTCCGCTCTATACTGGCTGAATGCAGCTGGCCTCAGTGTCCTGTGCTCCTCGCCTGGTCTATAGACCATGAGGCCCAGCGTGTCAGTGCTAGGAGTGAATGCCAGCCACACCTACCTAACCCCCGATGTTCATCTCCATGACCCAGGTCACCCCCTTGCTCTTTGCCTGGGTCTCAAACACGGAACCGTGTCCAGGGCTAAAGACGCTGATTACAGCCCAACTTGCTCTCTGTCTGGCATGTCCCTGCTTAATTCAAACAGTGCTCTCTGACGATGCAGGGACCTTGGTGGGTCTGAAAGTTTGGGGCCGGTTTCAGGCAGGACCGTGGCAGGCAGTTGTTCTGTGTACAGCAACGAGAACATCCCTCAGCAACTCTCAGTACCTGCACGGCACTGTGCATCCTTAGAGACCATGGTTCATGTATGATTGCTCCTCCCTGGCCCTCCAGCAGTGTTCAGCTGGCCTGATCGTCATGGGTGACTGTTCTGCCTGCTGGCACCCTTTCCTGACAAGTGACCCCACCACATTTTCCTTCCTGATGTCTTTTCTCTGTAGGACATGTCTGGTTAGCACAGGGATAAAGGGCAAGTGCACAAGCACTGGGGTGCTGGTAGGGCCTGTCACCTGGGCAGGGGAAACTGCGGTGTTCAGGACCCTCCTCAAGGTCCCTTTCCTGTCTGAAGCCTTCTCCTGGAAAGGCCAAGCCCCTCTTTTTCTTCACACTCTACCCTGTCCCTTCTTACCTTCTCCACACTGCCATAGGGCTCCATCTCACAGTACCTTGCTGATTGAGGAAGACATGTTTCTCTCTTGCCCCTCCCCCACTACCACCTGCAGTCCTCTATACTCTCGGCAGTGCTCCCCACTCCCCAGTCAAGGCCAGGACCATTCCTTAGCTTCACGAAGTCCCTCAGTGGCTGGCATGAGGCCTAGTGTATATGAGCACCTGACAGTGTACAGAGCTGCTCTCAGAGCCACGTTTGCATTGGGTCTGATACAGCACAGAAAGCAGAGGACCCTAGGGAAAAACTGGGTAATGGCTTTTATGGTGACCTGTGGCAAACTGGGGGCTTTCCAAGAACCAGAAGCCAAATAGCCCCCCAGGATCATCATAGCCACACAGGCCAAGTTTCCTGTGTATGTGCCTGCCAGAACCCACGGCTGAGGCAGCCCCCTCTATGACAGTACCTGGTGGAAGCACTGTTCACCCTGGGAGACCAACGCTTGGTGATGAGTCTCAGCCTAGCTGGGAGTCAGCAGAGGAAGCTGAGGCCAGGAGGCTTCTGGAGAGTGTGCTTCAGACACAGTCCCTCTTCTGTGACTCCCAGAGTAAGATTGTGCTAAGCCATAGTCTACACACCCTCATGTTCCTGCAGAGGTTCAATGAATGGCGTTCTCAACTTTAAACAGGCAAAACGGGCATCAGAAAACACCTTCACATACTGACCAACAGGTACCTGCCAGGACTGTGTCCACTTCAGGCAAAGGACCCATGCTTCTGACTCACTCCATGATTCAAAGCATTTCTCGGACTCTGGGAATCTAAGAAGATGCCTTTGCAAGTCAGAGGTTTGACACAATGATCTCAGCTGCTTCAACAAAGCGGGAGTGGCATCTGGCGAAAGTTGTGAAAATCCTTGAAGTAAACAGAGAGCCGAGACCCCTGCTAGCCCCTTGGCTGTGGCCTATCCTGCAGTCCCAGCACTCAGGATGCAGGATGGTGTGAGCCAGGAGTTCTCAGCCACCCTAAGCAACATGACAAGACGCTACTCAAAGTTTAAAGACAAAGTTTTAAGGAAAGCACTTCTGAGAACCTGGGACTCAATTTCAGGTCCAGTTAACACAATTAGCACATACTTTGACATACAAGGTACACGCTGCCCGAGTCTAGAGACAACCCATCACTTCGGGAAGCTCCTGGCCTCTCCCGGCTGTCCTATAGCACAAGGCCTCCTGTAAGCATGCCATCCTCTCCAGAGACCACCAGAGGGCGCCTGATGCTGCCAGCCCTGTAGGGAGTCACAGTCCCTCCACATTACACAGAAACCGCAGATCAGGACTAAAGCGTGGCAACAGAATCATGCATGCTTCGAGTTCAGCATGTGATTTATCCGAACTGCCTTCATTTAGCCGTGGTCCTGTTGCTAGGGAACCAGGAAAGTGAGACAGAATATTCCACTGTGGGGGGAGCCCCAGCCTTTGGCTGAATGTGTTTCCTGGGAAGTATACTGTCCCTGTGCTGTCAGGATGGTGACAGTGTCACTGTCTTCCAGGGCCATCAGCAAATGCTAAGTCAGATCCAGCCTACTGTCACCAAGGAGCAGTATGGAACATTTGAGTGAAAGGCTGGCAGGAGGTGGGGTAGGATGGGTAATCCTGTACGGGCAGTGGGGTTGCTGCCCTCCCAACCTTGCTGTTTCTGGGGCAGTGGTGACCACACTCCCTCCCTCTGGGTACCCTTGCAGCTCATTCAGATCTTCTTGGGGAGCGGCTGGTAAAGCAAACAAGTAACCCAATGACTTCAGTTCTTTCTTCCAAGTTAGCCAGATCATAGAAGGCAGCAAGGCCCGGGGGCTGAGGAGCCCGAGTTTGCCACTAGGCACGTGTCACTTTGGGTTAGCCAGCGTCTCTGCCACCCGAAGCCCAGTGCACCTGGCAGCAGGCAGCTGGGTCAGATGAGCACACTGGCTTCCTGAGGGCACAGCCTGTCCACCTCACTGACTTGGGAGGAAGCATGCTGGGCCCACAGAACAGGCACTTGCAGACGCCCCTCTGCCTGCAGTCCAACGGCTGCATCAGTGGCCTCCACACCATCATTGTTGACCGGCAGCCATCCTTGCCTCACTCGCAGGCTCCCTCTCTCCTCTCCCCTAATTCTGAAGTACAGAGTCCTGCTCTTTAGTATAGGCTCACCCTGAATTCATGACAATCCTCCTCCCTCCTCCCCTCAGAGTACTGGGATTATGGGTGTGCATCACCACACCTGGGCACTGGGTCGTCATCACAGCTGGGTTTCCTCTTCCGAGTCACAGCCTCTCGTTTGGAAAGGCCACTTCCGGGCAGAGTAAGCAGGTCTCTACATGCTGTGGTTTGCACACAGACCTCCCCAGCTCCTCACCCTAAATTCTGTCAGGAGAGGTGCTGCCTCTGACACCTTCTCATTCCCAGAAGCCATAAGTGGAGACAGCGCCTTCAAAGCCAGGCCCTGGGGAAGCTGGATTGAGACCCAGCCATCACAACAGTTCCTGGACCACAGATACCATGACCCCAAATTCTCCATCCTGAGTGTCTGGCTTTGTGCTCATCAAATGGGAGACTCGCCAGGCTCTCATGGAGTCCTTGCTGCCCAAGAGGGTCACTGCGTGTACTCCTGAGTCCTGGTGGCCTTCCCACTCTGATCTTGGGGATGCCTCTAGGGCAGCTCCCTCTGCACTCATCCTTGGCCTCCAGGGAGAACACCTGGATCCAGCGGCAGTTGCTCTTTCTTTGGGTGCCATTCCCCTTCAGGCTGGTGACCCTCATCTCCCCCGCTCAGTCTCTCACACACCTTGACAAACTGTCTGCTGCCTAACCGTCGATCTCCCAGTGAGGCACACGGAAGTCTCACCCTCTGAGTCAGGCACAGTGCCTGTTAACATTTGTACAGGGTGGCATGTCCAGTATCCACAGCCTCCAGACTGCCCTAACAGTTAAGCAGGGCAACCCTCAGTGTGGCCTCGCTCCCTGAGTCGTCTCTGGTTCTTAACTCTGCAGGGCTTGATGCACTCAAGCGGCCCTGTAGGCCGGCACCGGCAGCTGGTCCTGGTTCTGGAGGGAGAGCTCTACCTTGTCCCCTTTGCTCTGCTGAAGGGCAGCGCCTCCAATGAGTACCTGTATGAACGCTTTACCCTCATCGCTGTGCCTGCCGTCCGCTCGCTTGGTCCGCACTCCAAGGTAACGCACTGGAGTCTCTCATGCAACCTAAAAGGTGGGCGGGCTTAGCAACCAGGCCAGGCCCAGGGCATAATTTACATGGGGTAGTTTCTGCCTCGGTGGTTTTGAAGATCTTAAGTTTTAGTTTGATGTTGGATTATAACTTTCTCAAAAGGCAGGATCAGTTCTGAGGGAAAGGAACAAACTTCTGAGGTCTCCATGGCCAACCCGACTCCAGGTCCCGGATGGGGAGGGAGCTGGCACCCCTGACATTGCCTGGCTCACTAAACCACATCAGGCATTGGATGTTGCCAGCTTACAGAAGCCTCTACCCTGCTGGCAGCAGGGACTGGCTGTACTGGCTCACAAAGATGCTGAACACTTAGGGTGAGTGATGTTGCCAGGACACCAGATGCCCAGCTGACAGTGTCTCCTCTCCTTAGAGTCACCTGAGGAAGACCCCGCCCACGTATTCCAGCTCCACCGCCATGGCAGCTGTCATAGGCAACCCTAAGCTCCCGTCAGCAGTGATGGACAGGTGGCTGTGGGGCCCGATGCCCTCAGCAGAAGAGGAGGCATACATGGTGTCAGAGCTTCTGGGCTGCCAGCCCCTTGTGGGTAGTATGGCCACCAAGGAGAGGGTCACGAGTGCCCTGACCCAGGCTGAGTGTGTCCACTTTGCTACCCACATCTCTTGGAAGCTATCAGCCTTAGTCCTCACCCCCAACACGGAGGGCAACCCTGCTAGCAGCAAGAGTTCCTTCGGTCACCCCTACACGATCCCTGAATCGCTGCGGGTGCAGGATGACGCAAGCGACGTAGAAAGCATCTCAGACTGCCCGCCACTCCGGGAGCTGCTCCTCACCGCGGCCGACCTCCTGGACCTGCGGCTGTCTGTGAAGCTGGTGGTCCTCAGCTCCTCCCAGGAGGCCAACAGCCGAGTCACAGCAGACGGCTTGGTGGCACTGACACGGGCCTTCCTAGCTGCCGGCGTGCAGTGTGTACTTGTGGCTCTGTGGCCGGTGCCGGTCGCAGCTTCCAAGATGTTCGTTCATGCCTTCTACTCATCCTTGCTGAATGGCCTGAAGGCCAGTGCCTCCCTGGGGGAGGCCATGAAGGCAGTGCAGAGCAGCAAGGCCTTCTCACATCCCTCCAACTGGGCAGGTAGGGAGCGGAAGCCTGCCGGTGGGCGTGGGTGGTCCCCACACCCTCGTTCTGCAGCTGTGGGAGGGCAGGAAGCAGGCTCTGAGGGCCCAGGCCCTCGTACTCAGCCCCTGGGTTCACCCTCGGAGGAACCCACAGCTCTCAGTATCAGTGGACAGCGTCTGTCGTCGCTGGGCACCCAATTCAAAGCCCCGTGTTAGAAAAAAAAGAGACCCTTGACGTGGCCACGGTGTAGATACGGTTGTGTGCCATGCAGAAGTCGCCTGCCCTTCAGCACTCCAGCACCCCAGCGGGTGTCATGGCTCCTCCAGGGTAGCCTTGCCTCCCACCTAGCAGCACAGGCTTCAGTATGGCTGGGTCACTGGATGGTCCCTCATCAGACCACGCCTGTCCTGTCCAGGCCCTATGGCAACCATGTAGGAGGCCAGACCCTCTCTGCCTGGCCCATCATCCCCACAGGGGTCTCTGCCTGTGTGCGGGCTTCCTGGGCTAATGTGCTTGTCTGAAAGTGGCATTCATTTGTTTGGGTTGTTGTTGCTGTATTGTTTTTGATAGATAACCTAGGAAGGCAAAGGAGCTAAGGGATCCAGGAGGGAGACCGATGGGCTCCTGCTGCTTAGCTACCAGGTCTTTCCTTCTAGCTCAGGCTGTTTCTTCTGAATTGGAGGAACATGTCTTTTACTCCTCTGGTTGCTAGTTCCTGCCCCAAGTTCTCTCCCACAAGGTCTCTAACAAGGAAGCTTCAGGCTACCCAGGCCAGAGGCTGCTCTAGAGTACCCTCCTGTGGCTCACAAAGACGGCCAAGCAGTATGGGACAGCCCACACCCACCAGCGCCCAGCTCTCTTGCTGGACCATTGGGAGGAAATAGCCAGGGTAGCAGTGCTGTCCCCCACTGTCCCCTGAGGAGCCCTCTGTGCTGTCCTCAGGTTTCACGCTTATCGGGAGTGATGTCAAGCTGAACAGCCCCTCGTCACTCATCGGCCAGGCGCTCACGGAGATCCTGCAGCACCCGGAGCGGGCACGGGACGCCCTGCGCGTGCTGCTGCACCTGGTAAGGGCTGATGAGACCCTCTGGGGAACCTGGGCAAGGTGCCAGTGAGAACCAGCCTGGACAGAAGGAGACAGGGGTGGCTAAATCCAACTGCTCAGTTTCCTACCTAGAGGGGGTGAGATGACACTTCAGGGTCTCGGGGGATTAGCAGGATGAGGCCCCAGCCAGCCAGCCATCAGTGAGACCCCAGCAGCCGGAAGACTTCATTACCAGAGTCTTTCCCTGGATTCAGGAAAGGACTGATTGTGCCCTTGGCCAGCCCCAGTGCCTATGAGGCCTGAAGGCACCTGCACAGTTAGAAATTACCAGTTAAGACAGCCACTCAGAAGGTACAGCTAAAAGGATCAGGGGTTAAAAGCTGACCTGCACTACAAAAGACTACCTCACCCCCAAAATAAAACGGTGACACAAAACTTGTCCCGTCTTTTCCCTTTGCTGAAAACATGGAGCACAGTCTCTAGTCATTCCCAGACCAACCCTGGCCCAGGCTGGGCCTGTGTAGTATAGACACACAGTTATCTGTGGTCACCTCATAGGCCTAGAGCAGACACCGTAGCTTCAGAGGACCCGCTGCAGGAGTAGGTGGGCAGTCCATTTTGGTGCATGGAGACGACCCAAGCCAAGCCCTTCAGCCCCATACCCTGGGTCTGGGGCTCTCTGTGCACATTGATAAAAGAGAAGGTACATCATTCTTCAAGCTTGGGTCTGTGGGGAAGTTCTGAACCTTAGGCAGTCAGCATGCACCATACCTAGGGGAGCCTAGCTGCTGTGAGCAGCCATGCTCTGGGCCCTGAGGATGCCGAAACATTAGCTTTCTCCATCACCCCATATCTGTGAGCCCTTCTGAGTCCCTCACCACAGCCATAGCACTGCAGACTTCTCCTAGTTGCCCTTCTGCCCGCCCTGTCCAGCCGGACTTCTCAGGGTCTCACAAGGCCTCTGGCTGCAGGTATATTTACTGTTTTCCTTCTTCATTGTAAGGCAAGAGCCACGCCCCAAGCTCCCTGCCTGTCTCTCCAGCAGGAGGCAATGTGCCTCCAAGACCCCTCTGTCCCAGGACAGCCAATCCTGACCCTTGGAGATGGACACTTCTTTCCCCCAAATGTCTGATTTGTGTTGTGCTCTAAGAGAAGCCTCAGGTGACATGCTGAACAGTCTGCAAGCCTCTGTGGGGACACGTGTGCCTCAGGGGCTGTGACATCTCAGGGTAGAGACAGGTGTCCACTGGGAGAGTTGTGCAGAAAATGAGGATCCAGTGGGCACTGGCTGGCACTGGCAGGGTGGCAAGGGTGCAGGCCCAGACAGGCTCTGGCCCAAGGCTGTTTTCTGCAGAGTGCAGAAGGGAAGACTCCTCTGCCCTATCCCTGCAGCTCTGTTGACCAGCTCCTGGCAGTCACACCCTCCTATGCATAAGGCCTCGGCTTTGTCCCTAAGCCTGGTCAAATGGGCTTCCTGGGTGGCAGTAGTCAGCATGACACCAACTTCCCTCAAAGCCCCAGGAGGAGGAACAGGGCTGACCCGGGTCTCTAACTGCCTCATCCCCACCAGGTGGAGAAGTCCCTGCAGCGGATCCAGAATGGACAGCGGAACGCCATGTACACCTCTCAGCAGAGCGTCGAGAATAAAGTGGGTGGCATCCCTGGATGGCAGGCTCTCCTCACCGCGGTGGGCTTCCGGCTGGACCCCGCTGCCAGCGGGCTGCCGGCAGCTGTCTTCTTTCCAACCTCAGACCCAGGCGACAGGTTGCAGCAATGCAGCAGCACTCTCCAGGCCCTGCTGGGTAAGCTGCTACAGCACAGAGGGGACCACGAGTCACAAGGATGCTGGGCCTTGTAGCTAGAAGCACCCCCAGAGGTGACAGAGTCCCAGAGAGGCACTGCCACAGATGAATGGCTGATATCCACCTTACCCAGTCTTCCTGTCTATGGTGGTGTGCTGGCCCCACCTGGGCTTTTGTCCCATCCTGGGGGATGAGAGTGCCCCCAGGCAGATCCCGTCATCAGCAGCTATGCTTCTGGAAAACCTACAGAGAAACCAGGGTGGCACAGGCATACGACCACCTGGGATCAGGCTGTCCTGGCACTGTAACTGTAGGAGAATGAAGTATCTCCCTCAGGGCCCCTCTTCTCTGGAGGCCACATGTTCCTGTCCCAGGCCACACAGGCCGATCTTTAGCTAACCACCCTCAGTGCTAAGCACCTGGAGCTCTTTCCCTGGAAGGTGACTTCTGCTCCTGTGTCCCGGCTCAGGTTTGCCCAACCCGGCTCTCCAAGCACTGTGCAAGCTCATCACAGCCTCGGAGACGGGAGAGCAGCTCATCAGCCGGGTAAGTACAGCCAGGTGCTAAGTGCAGGCTGGACAGAAAGACAGAGTGACCAGACCCAGATGGGCCTGTCAGGACTGTGGAGTGTGGCTTCCCTGCCTCTGTGAAGAGAAAGAAGAGCTAGGATGGCATCTCTGAATAGGCAAGGTCTACAGACAGGTTCTTAGGGCTCACAGCCTTGCCTCTGGCTGATCCAGGTGTCTCCAGAACTCTCTATTCACTGTCTTCTCGTGCCCTGACACCTCCCCCAGCTCTCCCAGATAACTGACCAGTATCACAGTGTTGGGCTAGCCCCCAAGGGCTAAGCCCTTTTAGAGAAGAGACAGCTTTGAAGAAATGTGGGTGGAATTCGGGAGTTTGAATTCTGACTCTGAGCTCCGAGCAGCCCTGCTCCCAGTAGCTTCTCCGTCTCCCCAACTTTCCTTCTGGCCACTGAGAATCCAGAGTCCACCCAGGTGTACTGGTGGGGGGTGGGAGGCTCCGGATGGCACTCTTCAAGGAAGTAGAGTGGTTTCCCTGGTCATCCTGGAGGGTATAACTTGGCACAGTCGTGCATGTTGCTGAGGTGTGGCGACCAGTCTCAGCCATGTGCAGTATGGTCACCCTATGTGAGCTTCAGCAGGGCAGATACCCCCAGCGGCTCCTGGGGGCTCCTCTGCCCTGGGACTGTTGGCACCATCACTGGAACACAGAACCAGCCAGTGACCTGGCTTGAGTTCCCACTGGTTTTATAATTAGCACGCCTCAACTGCTCCCCGAATAGCATTAGAGGACACTTCTAGAGCGTTGCATGTTAAAACATCCAGAACACAGTTCCGTGTTCTCCAAACAAGAATGAGGGACTTGCACCCCTACACTCCACCCCTACACTGCAGGCAAGGCCAAGAGCCTCAGAGTGCCAGTTCTTTGTCTCTTGCTTTCATGGAACAAAGGGACTTTGGATCTGTTCGCTGTGGGCCCCAGGATGACTGGACGCTGGCCAAGGCATCTCCTGTGCTCATCTCCTGTGCCCCCCCTTGCTGCCTCTTGCTCCTCTCCAGTCAGAGCCAGGCTGGTACAGCACCTCTTAAGGCAGCGGTCAGCTTGTGTGCATAACTGCTATGCTTGAATCTAAACTCTCTCTCTTTCTCTCTCTCTCTCTCTTTCCTTTCCTTATACTCTGCTGGCTTCATGAAGGCTGTTAAAAATATGGTGGGAATGGTAAGTACTTTAACTAGCAGCTGCTGTCAGGTGAGCACCTTGCCCACCCACCCCAGTACCCTGCAGCTCTGAGCTTGCTGGTCATGCACATGAATGCTGGCACGGAGATCTGGGCAGGGGCTTGTCCCCTCCTCTGCTCTGGCTACCCCTTTCCTGTTCCACTCTGTCCTGATTTGACCTCTCAAGTTCCACTAGAGCAGCAGAGGCAGAACCAGTGATGAACACAGGCAGAAGAACACCCCTACCCCAGAAGCAGAGTTCACCAGACACCCGAGTAGGTTAACACCAACTGCTACATGAGCGTTGCGGTCACAAAATGTAGAGTTCAAATCTTCCCCATCCAGTGCAAGACCCTAAAGATAGCCTACCTTTAGGCATGTAAGCAAAACGGAGGCAGCCAGTCCCAGCTGCCCTCCCCGACTCCCACAGCCTCTCCTGTGCTTTAGGGAAGGCAGAGGCTGAGGCAGGGCTGGGGCCCAGGAGGCTCCTCCACCTTTGCTCCACACAGCACCTTGCCATACTGTCCGTGGCCAGCACAGGGGCTGCAGTAGGTGGGCTGCAGTAAGTATGATAGGAGGTGTGCACAGGGGTGGCTGCAGTAGGTATGACCAGGGGGGCTTCAGTAGGTGTGCACAGGGGAGCTGCAGGTGTCATGAGAGATCAGCAATACATGACAGGTGACATGAGGCTTGGGTGTGGTTCTCAAAAGGCTGCAAGCCTGTGCTCATCTCTGTCTGTTCCTCCCTCAGCTCCATCAGGTGCTGGTTCAGCTGCAGGCCTGCGAGAAGGAACAGGACTTCGCCTCAGCTCCCATTCCGGTCTCCCTCAGTGTCCAGCTGTGGCGGCTCCCAGGATGTCATGAGTTCCTGGCAGCTCTTGGTAGGACCAAGCACCTCTGACTTAATTTCAGTTTTCCCTCCCGCTTTCTGGTGGGTCAAACCCAGTGTTGCAGAAATTATCAACCAAAGACGCTAATGCTGCAGCCCCTTCCTGCCACCACAGTGTCCCCTCTAGTCTGTCCTGACCTCACCTGACCACACCAACGCAGACAAGCTTTACCATGTGTGAAGGGGCTGCTGCTGGCTGGAGGAAGGGACAGTGCCCAGGCCAGACCTCAGTGACTAGTAGTCAGGACAGAAGGACCAAGAGTGGCACCAGGGTAGAGTTAGAAAGGGAGCACCAGGCCCAGGGCAGGGCAGGGCAGGGCCTCCAGGCCAGGTAAGGAGACCTCATGCAAGCTCCTTTTCCTTCCCCACCCCAGTCTCCAGCAGGCTTAGTGGTGTCTCAAGTAGGGGGCCTGGCTGGTCTCTTCCGGGGACAGTCTCTGGCCTCAGTGCCTGAGAGAGTGCTTGCTGACTGCCTCTGTGGTGCTCAGCTAACCTAGAACTCCTGGGCTTGAGGGATGCACCCACCTCATGTGGCTGCTAGCATGTCTCTGAAGTCATTTAACTACAGCATCAACAACTCATTAGCCAGCTTCTCACTCAGGAAAGCGGGTGTTCTCTGCACTATTCTGAAGCCCATTAAAACCCATAGGATGGGGAGCTGGCCCCTCGAGCACAAAAGGTGGCCTTCCTTTTAGTAGAAGTGCATCTCAGACCCCCAAGGACAAGAGATATGGAGGGCATGCAGACAGACCTTGTCCTCAAGCACAGAGAGGTCTCCTTCCTGGATGCCAACCTGCAGTCCTGCCCCAGTGCTGAGCAGAGAAGCCACATTTGCCCTGGAGGGTCTGAGCAGACCGTCCTGTGGCCAAGTGTCCGGTCTCACATAGCCCGACTCCAGGAAGACTGCAGAAGAGTCAGGCAATATTCCACAGCAGCAGGCGAGGCTGTGCCCTGTAGCTCTTCTGGGAAAGGCAGCCTGACCTCCTGACGGGTCAACTGGGAAATCTCACCTGGATACTCGCTGGCACCTTGCCACACTGCCCATGGTGCATCTTCCGTGTTCCTCTAGGGTTTGACCTATGTGAAGTGGGCCAAGAGGAAGTGATCCTGAAAACCGGCAAACAGGCTAGTCGACGCACCACCCACTTTGCTCTCCAGTCCCTGCTGTCACTCTTCGGTAAGCTCCTCCTCTGTCCCTCTTGAGGAGAGTTGAGTGATGCATCTGCAGTCAGTGTTAGAGTCTTCTAGGGGAGGGGCCCACAGAGCACCTTGCTCTGGAGAGCTTCATCCTTGGGGTATACAGGCAGCAAGCTCATTAGCTTCCCTGAGACCAACAAAAGGAACTAAGGCCTCAGGAACAGCAAAGTGGGGACACGACAGGGGACAGTGGTGCTAATGGGACATGGCATGGTCTCAGGGTATGCCTGTCCTACTCCAGAGCCATGTAGGTGAACACAGTGTAAGAGGAGGTCCATGGGACTGTGCCTGGGCCTGCTGTCGTCCCAGGCATAGTAAGTTGGCAGCAGAACTTACAGGTTCTGCTAAAGAATGTGCACTGTAACAGGAAGGCTCGAGGGGACGCTCGGCTTTCAGGGCAGGTATCGATCAATCAGGGAAGCATCGCACAGACATCAGGAAAGCAGCATCAGGGATGGGGTGGAGTGCTGTCCTGGGCACGTTGTGCGCTAGAACATCCAAGATGCCCACTGAGGGAGGAGCCGGGTGTCTGGGAAGAGGACAGCATAGACAAGAGGAGGAGCTCTGTGCCCTGTGGGCAGGTACTGTGGGGTCAAAGGGCAGAAGCAGAGGATAGAATGCACTGAAGACAAGCCTTAAGTACAGGATTTGGGGCCTGAGCTCACTAGTGACATTCACAAGAACAGTAAGGACTACTGTTGGTGCCAGTGAGTGGAAGGTGACAGGAGGCAAGAAGGGGCTGAGGCCCATGGCGTATGGCTGGACAGGTCCTAGGGTCTTTACTTCTTGTTCACAAGGTCGGAGTAAATTCAGGTTGTACTTATATAGACAGTCTTCGCTGCCTTCCGACGTTAGGATGCTTCGTGAAGGGAATGTCCGTCTGTAAGATCCTAACTGCCCTCTGACTGTTCTGTGCCTAGATTCCACTGAGCTCCCCAAGCGCCTCAGCCTGGACAGTTCGTCCTCCCTGGAGTCCCTGGCGTCGGCACAATCTGTGTCCAATGCTATGCCCTTGGGCTACCAGCACCCTCCTTTCTCGCCCACTGGGGCAGACAGCATCGCCTCCGATGCCATCTCTGTGTACAGCCTCAGCTCGATTGCCTCCTCCATGAGTTTTGTCTCCAAGCCCGAGGGAGGTTTGGAAGGCGGGGGTCCCCGAGGACGACAGGACTATGATAGGTCCAAGAGCACCCACCCGCAACGAGCCACCCTGCCACGGCGCCAGATGTCCCCCCAGGCCAGATGCGGGGCCAGCAAGGAAGAAGAAGAATACGAGGGGTTCTCCATCATCAGCATGGAGCCTCTGGCAACCTACCAAGGAGAGGGGAAGGCACGCTTCTCCCCAGACCCTAAGCTGCCCTGCGTCAAGGCAGCAGGTGGAGTGAGGCTTTCGGTCAGCAACAAGGGAAGCATCAGCACACCCAACTCCCCCGTAAAGATGACCCTAATCCCCAGCCCAAACTCACCCTTCCAAAAAGTGGGAAAACTGGCAAGCTCAGACACAGGGGAGTCGGACCAGTCCAGCACAGAGACCGACAGCACTGTGAAGTCCCAGGAGGAGAGCACCCCAAAGCTGGACCCCCAGGAGCTGGCCCAGAGGATCCTAGAGGAGACCAAAAGCCACCTCCTGGCAGTAGAGCGCCTTCAGAGGAGTGGTGGCCCAGCTGGCCCTGACCGAGAAGATGGCGTGGTAGCACCCAGCAGCACCACGGTCTTCAGGGCCTCAGAGACCAGCGCCTTCAGCAAGCCTATCCTGTCTCATCAGAGGAGCCAGCTGTCACCACTCACTATCAAACCACAGCCCCCAGCCAGGAGCTCATCCCTCCCCAAGGTGAGCAGCCCTGCCACATCAGAAGTGTCAGGCAAGGATGGCCTGAGCCCTCCTGGCAGCAGCCGCCCATCACCTGGCCGAGACACGCCAGTCTCCTCAGCAGACCCGCCGCTCTTCAGACTCAAGTACCCCAGCTCTCCTTACAGCGCCCACATTTCCAAGTCCCCCCGGAACACGTCCCCCGCGTGCAGTGCGCCATCTCCTGCACTCTCCTACTCTTCAGCTGGCTCTGCTCGCTCCAGTCCGGCCGATGCCCCCGATGAGAAGGTGCAGGCTGTGCACAGCCTCAAGATGCTCTGGCAAAGCACACCCCAGCCCCCCAGGGGCCCCCGGAAAATATGTCGAGGTGCACCGGGAACCTTGACATCAAAAAGAGATGTCCTCAGCCTGCTGAACTTGTCCCCTCGGCATGGCAAGGAGGAGGGTGGGGCAGACAGGCTGGAACTGAAGGAGCTGTCTGTGCAGCAACGTGACGAGGTGCCACCCAAAGTTCCCACCAATGGCCACTGGTGCACGGATACAGCAACACTGACAACACCCGGCGGCCGCAGCATGACGGCTGCCACGCGCCCTCTGAGACTTCCCTTGGCCAACGGTTACAAGTTCCTATCCCCAGGAAGGCTCTTCCCTTCCTCCAAATGTTAAAGCAGCTTCTTGCCCCCAACTCAGTGCACACTGCAGCCAGAGTCCCGGGGTCCCTCATCCAGTGTGGTCACCCACCCACATAGCCACTGATACCATCTCTTCCCCGGATAGGTGGGCTCCCTGGGCAAGGTCACTGCCACACCACATACCACAGTACTCACAGGTAGCCCCTGGGCCGGATTCGCCAAAAGCAGTTCTTGCATGGGAACACGGCAGTGCCTTCTCTGCCTCTCTGCCCTGCTCGAGTCCTGGTTACGCTCCTGCCCCTGGACCTGTGGGAGGAGAGAGCACAGGGTTTGCTACCAAGTCTCTATGCATTCCTTTCCTATAGGAGCACAGACAGCTCTTGCTGGGCTTCCAGGTGCTGGTGGGATATGTAATGTTCTAAGTTAAGTTCTGCACTGACGCATTACATTAGCCAAAAGGAGAACTACGGTTTTTAAAATGCCAATTCTTTGTGATTAAACTGTAGCCATTTTGGTGGAGACCGAAGTCACAGCCACAATGCAATAACTCATATTGAAAGCTTGCATCCCCAGCTGCTCCCCATGAGCAAGGCCAGGGGCCTTTTGACCCCACATTGGCCAAACTTGAATTTTCTTAAAAAATAAATAAATAAAAATAAAAATTCTGTACTTTTGTCCAGGCATTTTAGAACTATGCAATTGTGGTTTAAAACACAATCATTGTGCTTTTAAAACATAACTGACCTTTTTTGTACATGGATAAACACCTGGTTTTATTATCAACAGTACTTTGCATTTATAGCTATTATTTTTAAAAGCTTGAGAAATTTTAAATGTCAAATTTTGAATATTCATCCATAAACAGTAATCAAGTTTTCCCAGGGTGGGGTATGGTTGAAAGTATTCAATTTCCTTATTTAAAAAAATAAAAAATGAGAAAGAGGAAAAAGAAAAAAAGAAAAAAAAAACGGAAAACAAAAAAACAAAAATCCAGTCCAGTCCCCTGGCTAGCTAGACCAGACCCCTGCCATGTCATCAGCTGCCTTGCTGAGTCGCTCTTCTCCCTGCAGACCTCTCCTCTCTTGGGTCACGAGGCCCCACAGCCTGGCTGGTCTCCTGTGACTGCTGGCTGCCACTCACAGGTCAGTCCCTTACAGACGCTGCAACAGCTTGAGCTGCACCCCCACCAGGTCGGGAATACTCTTCTGAGCACTGAGATTAAGGCCCCCCTCCCTCTTAACTGTGAGAGCAGTCATCTGAAGAGGCCCATCACCACAGGGCTCTAGGGGCCAGGCTGGCATCATGACCCCCAGGGCACTTCTGACCTCGAGTAGGCTCCGACTTGGATTTGTTTCTGGTTGTAGAGTCTCTAGCCCAAGCTAGTCTTTCAAATTTGCAGGAATCTTCCTGCCTCAGCCTGCACCAACACACCACGCTAGGACCTCACTCTGTAGCCACTCCTTCGCCTCTGTGTGCTGTTTTGCAAACTGACTCCATGTTGCTCCAGTGAGTTTTGTCGTAGAGGATTCTGCATTTGACCCAGCCACCTCGGTGACAACCAGAATAAGGCGGCCCGTCACATTCTAAGCTGGCCCCGGCCCTAGGAGAGGAATACTTCACGAAGCAGCAGGGAGCTAACTCACCATGTAGCAGACAAAACCAAACCCAGCACTGTGCATACCATTTGCAAAGAAGTCAGGTCCTCGGCAACCGAGAATCAACCTCAGCACAAACTCGGGTGGCTGGGCTCTGCCCTCCTCAGCCACCACCTCAGCCCCTCCCTCCCCCAAGTGCCCAGGAGCCTGATTCTCTGGGCTTTGTCCAGGGTGCAGCCCGCCATCAGCAAATACATACCTCCAGCCCTCAGACCATGTGTGGTTGTCAAGCCATGGAGGAGGACTCCCAGGCTGCCCTGGTGTATGCCCAGGTACGCTGCCATTTTGTTCTGATTGACACTGAAGAGCTAATAAGTACCTGAGGTGCTTTTTATTTGTCTTAGATGCTAAGTTTCAATGAAGGAAAACAGAATTGGCAAAATAACGGGATAGGTATGCAGACCCAAGTTGCCGTTTATGCCAGTCTTGGCAACTCCATGCATGTGAAGTAAAGTCAATCGAAGTCCTCAGCTAGGTCACAAAGAGGACACTTCCAATCATGAGACTGTATGATCCGAGTTCTGTACGGGTCAGGGTTGGCGACCGTGACCCACAAGCTAAGGCTGGTGAATGAGTTTGAAGTTCTGTTTGTTTGTTTTGGCCGTTAAGCCGGTGATGGATTTTACCTTTTAAAATGGTTAATGAGTACAGCAGAAGTCCTGATTTTTGCCTCTTGGTTCACAAAGCCTGAAGTCACCTGCTACCCGGCCTTTTAAATAAAGGTTGGCAACTCCTGGTACACACAACAGAAAAATGCCAGGAAGAATTCAAGGAAGCAGGGGAGACTGACTGGCCCACTGGGCCAAAGCCCCGAGGGCTCACACTTGGTGCAGACGGCTTCTACCTAGCTCCTGGCTCTTCATCCCGGGTGGGAGAAGCCAACAGATATGAGTCAAAGTTACGAGAATGGTCTCTGCTTCCCCTTTGCTGGTAGTATTGAGACATCCCCTTGAACTCAGGAAATAAAAATTTTTAATAAATTTTTTCTTTAATGTTCTACCCCGCTCTACCAGACAAAGACATGCTCCAGGCAAGCAGCAGCTTCCTCTGGGAGCTTAGTAGGACCCGAAAGCAAGGCTGTAGGCTGCCCCCCAGTTTTCACCAGCAATGACTCCTAACACACCCAAGAAAATCATCTACCAAAACGTACACATTGTTTCTGCACCAGTGTGCAGGGCTCACCTTCCTCCCTTTAAAAAAAAAAAATCAGTCCACACTGATCAGTGGTGAGGTGCTGCCCACAGAGTCCAGCCGCCCCGGCACGCGGGCATGGCACTCATGCACACAGCGGCTTCAGTGATCCTTAGCACCTTGTAGTCGGGCTAATGGCGACAGTGCGGTTCCCCTCACACGCTGTTACCGGAATTGACTGTACTCGTGGCTTGTGAACCGGGCCTGTTTGTAGAGGATCCTTCAGAGACATCCACGCCAGCACTCACCCACCCCCGTCCTGGGCACCTCCCTACTTGGCATTCACTCTCCTTATACGCATTGTTAGCCACCTTTGGCCTACATGGACTCTTTTTTTGTAAATTACACAATTTCCAGACAGCATTAAACTTTTTATATTATGAAATTTGCCATGTAAAAAGAACTTCATATTTTTATTGAGGCTGCGGGCGCTTGGCCCTTCCTTTGTGATTCAGTGTCTATTAAAGCATGAGCCTGTCGGTTTTAAATGTTGTCCCCGAGTCTCTTTCTATTCGTTTCCCACAATTCCAGAGTGCCCATGTTTACAAATGGGCACACACCTGAGGTCACCTTAGGAAGAGACACTTAGGGACACTTGCACCGGGCACTCTAGCCGCACAGAGAGGGCCCTGATGGCCAACACCTTGACTCCTGTAGACTCACAGTGGAGAGCCAGAGATGTCTGCTGTTAAATAGAAACTTCCAAGGAAGCTTTTCAGGAAGAAAGCCATCCTCTGTATGGAGAGGCGCCGGGCCAGTGATCAGGGACAGTGAGATGCGGGGGCACAGGCACGGTGACGTCCCACTGGGTGACCTCCACTGGGTGACAGAAATGTATGAAACATTAATGTCAATGCTGTTTGCAAGGCTCACCACGGCAGAGCCCCAGATGGCTCATAACTGAGGATGGAAAACCTCCAGCCCAAAGAAACAAAACAGGAAAAACAGCCCCGCCGCCTCACGATGGACCTAGCAGAAAGGCAAAAGCCTAGATTTGGGTGCTACTAAAAACACAGCCTCAAAACTCACATAGGGAAGAAGGAAGTGGACAGACAGTCCAGTGCTGAGAAATGTTGTCATAAAGGGAGATTTCATCCCATAACCCTACACAGCAGAAAGGCCAGGGTGTGTGATAGGTTAGACAACCCAGCGAACAGGAGACCTGCCTCTGACAGTGAAGCCATGTTCCTCACGGGCACGTGGAGGGTGTTTCATGAACACAGCATACCCGCTCACTCCCAGACAGTAGCAGAGAACACTGGTCACCACCACATAGTCACAGTGTCCCGTGTAACCCGTCGCAGTGGGGGCTCCTACATGCTACGGCTCCTCAGCAGATACTCCAAGCGCGTTCCCTGACACAGAAGTAATCAACACAGAGATACAGGCTGGGGTAGAGTCATGGTAGAACACTGTCCTAGAATGTGTGAGGCCCCAGTTTGCACCCCTAGCACCACCGGGAGAAAGCACATGCCACACACTGCAATGTCAACAGACACCTCTCTGTCCCCCTCACCCCCTTACATTTTTGTTTTGAGGCAGGGTCTCGTATAGCCCAGGCCAGCCTTGAGCTGATCCTCCTGCCTCACTTCCTGATGGTCTATAACATTTTAAGGCACTACAGCTGTAACTGGTTGTCACAGCTGCAGTAGAATTGAGTGCCCAGACCTACAGCCCAGAGCCTCGGGCAGGCTGCACGCTATGCTACCAGATGATTATGCTTCATAGCACCACAGTGGGGGGTGGGGCAACAGTCTTCTGTCTGTTCCAGGAAACTAGGCCAAACATCTGGGTCCAAACACACTAAAGGGACAAGGTATCATCTAGGTGGTGCTTTACTCCTCGAGTGACCTCACCCAGGCCACCGCAGTTATTACATTGGTAGCAATTGTGCATTGGGGCTTCTGGGGATAATACTCTCCACTATATAAATACCCTCAATACAGTTATATTAAATAAAAACTTCTGAGTCAACTCATAGAAGCAGAGCTCATGATGGCCAGCCGTTTGAGTCACTGGGGAGGGAATACATTTTAGTTGTGCTCTGCCTGGCAGGGTCTTGCCAAAGTCAGACTTTTTTTTTTTTAATTTGTTTTATGTTTATGGGTGTTCTGCCTACAAGTATGTCCAGGCACCATGTGCATGCAGTGCACACAGAGGTAGAAAGAGGGCACCCAATCCCCTGAGACTGGAGTTACAAATAGCTGTGAACCACCAAGTAGGTACTGGGAATAAAGTCCAGGTCCTCTGCAAGGGCAGCCCCGTGCTCCTAGTCACCAAGTCAGCTCTTTAGCCCCTGGATGGAGCCTTTAGAAACACAGCCATTTTCTTTTTTGAACCAACAATGTAACTGTAAAATAGGACTGACATGTAATTAGGAAAAAGGAAATCCTTACATATGACGATATCTGCTGACAGCAGATGGTGTTGTAAGTAAAGTCTAGCAAACAATGCAAGGAAAAAGGTGACAGGAGAAGGTAAAAGAAAAAAGTCCCCTTGGTGCATAGCAGTCAAAACACTAAACATACAAAACAAGGATATCAAAAGAGGCGACGGATAAAGATCAAGCAGCATACAAAGGCGGGCATATTAGAATAACACCCAACTTCTCAATGGACACTCTAAAAGCCAGAAGGGCCTGGAGCTGTTCTACAGACTCTAAAGAACCACAGATGCTCGCCCAGACAGACTAGTGTAACCAGCAAAATATTCAATCATTATATATGTAGAAAATAAGACATCCCATGATTTAAAAACAACAACAACAAAAGACAAAAAGACAAAAACAAAACAACAACAAAAAACAATTTATCTACAAATCCTGCCCTACAGAAGGGACTAGAAGGAAAAGTTCAACTTAAAGAGGCCAACCATACACAAACACACAAACACTCTCTTACTTTCTCTCTCTCTCTCTCTCTCTCTCTCTCTCTCTCTCTTTCTCTCTCTCTCTCTCTCTCTCTCTCTCTCTCTCTCTCTCTCTCACACACACACACACACACACACACACACACACAGACACACATGCACCCACACCAAAATAATAGGGATTAATAAATACTGTTCATTGATATCTCTCAACATCAACAGTTTAGAAAAAAAGAGTTAACAGAATGGATACAAAGTCTTTCACACAATGCAGTACTATTCATTGTAACAGTATGGATACCAACACAGAATCCATTCTGCTACATCCAAGAAACACACACCTTAACATCAAGGACAGACTCACCTCAGGCTAAAAGGATGGCTGATTTTAAGCTGAACCTCAGAGCCTCAGTAACAATATCAGCATAGTACTGACCCACCAGTGCAACAGACCAGAAGATCCAGACACAAAACACAGACACAGCTACTTGATCTTTCACAAAGACACCAAAATACTCGCTAGGAAAACTGGGCACCCACAGGAGGAAGAAACTACATCCTTATCCCTCACCCTGTGCAAACTGAACTCCAAATATATCAAAGCTCTCGGCATAAGACCAAAAGCTCTGAAACTGCTAGTACTGAAAGCAGGAAAAACACAGGTAAGGGCTTCGCACAGGACTGCAGTGATGACTCGGGAATTAAGACAATGGGTACCAAGTGAGATCTCATGATGTTAATCTGGTTTTGGACAGAAGTGGCAACAGTTAATTGAGTAAAGACCCTACAGAATGGGAGAGAAATCTTTGCGAGCTATACATCTCATGGAGGATTGATATCTAGAATATACAAAGTACTTTTTAAAAACTATTTTATACCCCCTTCTAAGTGAGATTCAAGCATCCTAATTTGGGGCTTCCCTCTTGCTTAGCTTCTTAGGGTCTGTGGAGTATAGCCTGGGTATCCTGTGTTTTATGGCTAATATCCACTTATAAGTGAGTATATACCATTTATGTCCTTTTGGACATAAATGGTATATACTCACTTATACCATTTATGTCCTTTTGGAACTGGGTTACCTCATTGAGGAAGATATTCTCAAGTTCTATCCATTTACCTGCAAAACATGACATCTTTGTTTTTAATAGCTGAACAAGTACTACATTGTGTATTTGTATCACATTTTCTTTATGCATTCTTCGGTTGAGGGACATCTAGGTTATTTCTGGCTATTATGAATAAAGCTGATATGATCATAGTTGATCAAGTGTCCCTGTGGTATAGTGGGGCATCTTTTGGGTATATGCCCAGGAGTGGTATAGCTAGGTCTTGAGGTAGAACTATTCCCAGTTTTCTGGGAAACCACCAGATTGACTTCCAAAGTGGTTATACAAGTTTGCACTCCCACCAGCAATGGAGGAATGTTTCCCTTGCTCCATATCTTTCCCAGCATGTGCTGTCACTTGAGTTGTAGGAGGTGGAGGGAGGGAGGGAACTTGGTGGAAGAGGGGATGGGGAGGGATATGGTATTCAGGATCAGATGTGGGGAGGGACAGGAGAAATGGCCAGATAGCCATGAGAATGAATAGAAATCTGTAGCTGACAGGGTGAGGGAGGAGAGGGGCATCTTGAGGATGTGCCAGAGATCTGGAATTGGGAAGGTAACCATGAATCAATGAGGGTGACTTTCACTGTGACTCACAGCACTGGGGATATGGAACCTGAAGTGGCCGCCTCCTGTAGCCAGGCAGGAACCCCAGCGGAGCAATAGGGACACAAACCCATGCACAAAACTTTTGATACAAAATCTATCCTGTCTTCAAGAAACGCAGAGGCGAGGGAGGGAGCAGAGACTGAGGGAATGGGCAAGCAATAACCAGCCCAACTAGAGGCCCATCCCATGGACAAACTCTAATCCCTGACACTATTAATGATACTGCTATGCTTGCAGACAGGAGTCTAACAAGGCTATCCTCTCAGAGGCTTCACCCAGCAGCTGACTCAGAGGGATGCAGAGACCCACAGCCAAACGCTGGACAGATCCCAGGGACTCTTACGGAAGAGTTGGGGGAAGGGTTGAGGGATGGGGGTTGGAGGGGAATAGGAACTCCACAGGAAGACCAACAGACCCTTAGGGCTCTCCGAGATGGAACTCGGAGAGTTCTTTTTGGGCTCTCCCAAAAGTTGTTACCTGTCCATGGGATCTGCTCTTCTAGCTGAGCTGCCTTGTCTGGTCTCAGTGGGAGAGGATACACCTACCCTGGCAGAGAGTTGATATGTCAGGGTGAGGGGATACCCAGGAGGGGCTTCCACCCTCTCAGAGGAGAAGGGCAGGGGAGGGAGGCCAGGGATTGTGGGAGGGGATGACCTGGAGTGAGGGCAGCGATTGGGATGTAAAGTGAATAAGAATGAAAAAAACTAAAAACAAAACAAAGCCCTAAACTGTAAGAAAATACAACAATCAGAAAGGAGGGATAAGGAAACATAGTTCTCAAAGGAAGAGACACAAAAGGCAACAAATACTTTTAAAAAGCGTTTGCCCGTCAGGGAAGTACAGCAGATAGAAGTAGTTTAAGGTGCCATTTCACTCTGGTCAGAATGGCAGTCTTCAGGAAAACAG